TTCCCTGTCCCCAAACTCTGCCTGTCCCCGCAGCCCTCCCTGCCTGTCCCCATAGCCCCTGCACAGCCCTTATCCAGCAAAGAGAGACCCTTCCCCTTTTGCAGTTAAGGGAGTGATGTTTAAGTCCTGGGCACAGGAAAATAATTATTGTGGGATAATAAACAACATGGTAAGAGGTGGGAAAAAAAATGTCCTGAAGTGGATGGGCAAATGCCCTGGCCCATTCCACTGGCACCTCCGGAGCCTGCTGACATCCCAGCGCCATGACACCCAAGTGGGAAGCTGTGGGACCTACATGTCTTCCTTGGCATGGCTCCCTTGGGATGGGTGTGCTTGCGGAGAAGTGAGGGGATTTTGGGCTGGATTTAAGCCAGCCTCTGGGGTTGTGGCTGTGTTTGGGGCGTAAAACTGTTTGTGGGGTGCCAGAGCTTTACAGCATTCCGCTGGTCTGATTTGGTGTCCCATCTCTTCTCTCACAGGTTTGTGTATGGGACCAAAAACATGTCTTCTCCTAAAGTTTACATCCTGCAGCCTTGGATTGTGAACCTCTTGGTGAATTATGACCAGCCGAATTCCAGCGAGAATCTCCTGGCCGCGCAGGTCCTGCGGGTGGGTACCAAGGGAGACTCTGCTACCGGGCACCAGCAGTGTTTGCAAGCCGAATTCCTGGAAATGTTCAGCAGTTCCCAGTTCAGTGGCTGTGGGTGGGCAACCCTTCTTCCTCAATTCCCTGATTATTGTTCTTTTGAGGCGGAGGAGCTTTGCTTTGCCCATTTCTGGGGCAGCTGCTGCTGATTTTTGTACCTCTGGTATGTGTGCCCTGCCCTCATCCCAAGGGCTTGTGGTCTCCAAGGTCATCTCCCTCCTCTCCTGGTTTGGCAGTCATGGGCTGCCTTGCCTTCCTCCTCCTCCGCCTCGCATCCTGCCCTTCCTTGTACCGTGCCAGTTGATGGGTGATCCTGACAGTGGGTAGCATGAGGCAGAAGTGGGACCTGCTGAGGTGTCGAGCCTCATCCTGTCTGGTGGCGAGCCTTGGTGGGACCACGAGCTTGTCCTCCCATGGATGCTGGCTCTTCTGGGAAAGCCTCTTGCATGGTGATTCAGAGCACAGGGCTCTGAGGCACAAAACCTGCTCCTGTGTAGTTCCTGGAGAGCTTTTTGTGTAGCGCTGGCGATGTCTGTGACATTCGGTCTGTCCTGTGTGGCAGGAGGTCGCTTTGGTCAGGGGACTCGTGTCTGTTTGAGGCCTGATGGGCAGCGGAAGGAAGCAGGAGGCAAAAAAACCAAGCGGGGTCAGCACTGCCAGTCATTAGCTGTGGACTTGGAGGGATTGGATGAAGGATGAGGGAGACAACCGGGTGCACAAGCAGACGTGAGACCGGCATAGGCAGGGTGTGTGGTTCCTGCCTTGCAGTGGGCTGTGGTCATGACCTGGATGCTGGAGAGACCTGGCTCCAGTGCTCTGCTTTGCTGTTCTCTCGCAGCCTTTGGGTGCTTCTAGCAGCATCCCACCACGGACAGCATTCTTGTTAGCAATCTCCTAATGTCTTCCGTGGATGAGATGTTTGAGACAAGGCAGGTGTGCACCCCTTGTCAGATGCAGGTGGCATTTGTGCATGGTGGGGCATGGGATTTTGTGTCCCCACATCACCGGTCAGGTGAATGACTTAGGTGACATGTGTGACCATACCGTAGGTGTGTACCAGGAGAAGCCCAGGGGTGCAGGAATTAGGATGGGCCAGGACTGATCCCCAGCTCCCAGCCCATGGAGCGGGCAGGTATGAGACTTGGAGGAAGAGTTTTTGCTTCCCTCAGGGGTTGTTTTGACCCAGCATGGACATGGCTTAGTAGAGGCTCAGGGTTGCTGCGCCAGGAACTTCAGGCAAAAGAAGGGAAGGGCTGTAGTGATCCTCTGGGTACTGCTGCTCCCTCGCTCCCTCTCTCCCTCTGCTTTGTGGAGGAGTGTATGTCCCAGGCCTTCCCAGACTGGACTCCTGCTGCTGGTTTGGGTAAAAAAACTGCTTGGTTGTGGCTCCTCTCCCACTTTGCCTTTGATTGCTCTCTTGTACAATGTGGTGTGTCCCTTGCTCTCTCTTGGCATGGAGCTTGCTTGGTCCAGCTGGGACCCCTTGGCCTTGGGGTAAGCATTATCACCTGCCTTCACAGTGAACTCCTGAGAGTCCAGGCTCTCAGCCAGGCCTGGTGTGTCCGATCCTTGTTCACTGGGAAGCCTGAGTGAGGCTTGTTTACCCCCCTCCTCTCCTCAATCTTTTAATAGGTTTTGAGGGACTCAACTGCTCCAGACCAACCTGGGGTCCTCCAAGATGCCGTCCTACAGGTCTCCGATGGGTCCTACTACATCCGCGTGGTCATTACGGCCGAAGCTCTGCAGGCAGAGGAAAAGTGGGTTCCACCGTGACTCGGCTGTGGCTGGGACAGCAGTTTTCTACAGCTGCTAGTGGGGCTTCTCCCTGGACTTGTTTCATGTTGTGTTAAGCTGAAACACAACCTGAAAAAAATTGGGACACTGGGGCTTGGTTTTGGCTAGCTAGCATGGGCAGGGGTCGATGGCAGAAGCTGCCAGGTAGATGTGATTAGAAAGGGCTAAGGAGCCCATGGCCTTTGTGAAAGGAGCCAGAGCATTAACCCTGGTAGCCTGGGCTTCAGTGCTTTCCTCAGTTTCCCCCTGTGGACACCCCCAGACTGTCGGGGGGCCCCTAGCCAAGCCAGTGCAGGAATAAGTTACAGGAACCAGGAGCCCTTGGTCCCTGATGCTCATGCTGAGACATGTTCCAGTGTGCCCCAATGTGGCTGGGGAGCTGGGTGGGGAGCCCTGCTGCATGTTTGGATGGTCTGACTCCGTTCTTTTTTCCAAGACGTTCCTGCTCTGCTCTTTTTCTAGCACCCACATGCAGCTCAGGTTTTCCAGCCTCATTTGCAGAATCATCGTCTTGCAGAAGTACACAGTGTGTTTCCAGGAGGACGCCAGGCTGGTAAGTGCTCTCAATGAGCAGAAGCAATTCATTCCTTGACCTTGCCTTGTTTCCTGGATGCTTACCTGCTTTGAGCCGCTCTCAGGAGTGGGAAGCGGGCGAGGGGTGGCCTTTCTCTTCTTCCATGTGCAGCTCTGGGGAGGGTCTTTGGCAGTGATGGTGGCTTGGCCTGGGCACTGGGGATGCTGTGAGCTCAGATGTTGTGCGTCTTCCCTGGGGTCACACGGCTCTTGTCTCCTGCGTGGTCCACTGGTGGCTGAGCTGCATGCTGTCCCCTTGCAGGGGTCCAGGAGTGTCCCCCCTTGGCCTCGGGCTGGCCCAGCCTGGCCTATGGCTCTTCTGAAGGTCCATCAGCTGATGTGGGAGGGTATGAACCCTGTGTTGGAGGGGGTTGTCCTCTGGGGGAGGGGCCCTCACTGAGGGTGGAGGGTTGATGGCAGAGCTGGGGTGGGTGTGTGGGTGCTGACTGGCCCCGGGGTGAAGCAGAGATGGGACTGCAGAGGTGCCTCATGGGCTCCGTTTTGCCTGCAGGAGGACTGTGAGTTTTACCTCAAGGCCCAGCAGTTCATGGTGCTGCCCATGGAGAGACAGAGGTTGGAGTCATCCAACGGGTATGGTCCACAGGGCTCTGCTCTGGGGGGGTTTCTTCATCTCAGGGTGATGCTGGGAGTCCTGGTGTGAGCTGGTTGTGATGGGGATTTCTATCTCTTTGAAAGAGGAGCTCTCCTTCACAAGCTTTGAAGGAAGGTGGGGATGCAGAGGGAATTGGTAACTGGCTTCTCTCTTGCTGCAGGAACCAGGAGCCCTCTGTGCTGCTGAAGATAAAGGATCTCTGGCTGTAAGTGCTGGGGAATGTGTCCAGACATCACGACGAGAGCACGCAGGCTCTGAGGGGGGGTTAGAGCAGGCTGATCAGGACAGACATGGGTTATGGCAGCTCCTGGTTAACCTGTGGGACACCCTGCCCCAGGATGTGACAGAGCTGAGTAGATCATGAGATCCTGGTGACACGGAGATCTCTCCAACCCAGCTTCCTCCTCGGAGCTGGGAGGAGTACCTGCATCTTCCAGCTGTGGGCAGCACAGCCGGGTGGGTGAAGCCCTGCATAGCTCATTCTTCACTCTTGGAGACCCAACTCTAGAGATCCTCAGGGGTCTCCACTGGTTCGTTTCCAAGAACAGGGCTCTCAGATGGGTATTCCCGGGATACCGAGCAGTGGCTCTCGATCTGCGACCGAGAGCTGCAAAGGGCTGCTGGCCTGTGTGTGTCCCAGCCCTGAGCAGGCTTTGTCTTCTTGGTCATTGTAGGAGGAGTCTCGCCCTGAAGAACGCTCCCAGCTCAGGTAAAGGGTTGAGGGGGGGCATGCTCTGGCTGCCAGGACAAGGTGGTGCTGACAGATAAAGCAGGGGATCATTGCATGCTCACCAACCTGTGCAGAGAAAGGAAAGATAGTTCCTAGAAGCAAAGGAAATGCAGAACTTAGTGCGTTTCCACAGGTTTCAGTGCGCGTGACAGTTGTGCAGCAGAGTAAAAGCGTTTGCAAGTGAGAGGCGTGCCTGATTGACGCTGCCTTTTGCACTGACACTCATGTGCTCTCGCTCCAGAGCCGTCCATCTCTCAGCTGATCGACGCCATAAGACTAAACCAGCTGGAGGTTTTGAGGGAAAATGCTCAGGAGTGCTTGGATTTAGAGGTGCCCAAGGAGACAGTGAAGGACGAGGTTCCCATCACACAGTGGGAGGTGGAACGCAGGAAAGAGGTTGGTCTGGCTGCTGGAGACCTCGTGGTGGGGACCCTGCTCTGGAGGGGTGGGAGAAGGAAGGGGAAGGGCAGAGCTGGAGGGCTGCTGAGGAGAGAGGTGGTGGTCAGCTGCCAGCTATGGATGGGCTCGAGTGGGCAAAAAGCGAAAGCCATGGAATGCGTCTCATTTCAGCGGGGTGAGGACATCTTCATGGTCCCGGCCAACATGCTGGTGATCCCTCCCGAGGAGGAACCAGTTACTTGCGACGCTCCCAAGGCAGGTCAGTGCGGTGGCTTCGTCTGCAGGGGCGGCAGGCGGGCAGCTCAGCATCCGAGCATGCAAAATAAGGGTCTGCGTGGGGTGGGGAGATGACTTCCTTTGCTCTGGCTGTGCTCCATGCTGGGACACAACCTGCAGCACCTCTTTCATTGCAGACATGTGCAAAGCAACTCCTGGGAAGAGCAGTGATGAAAGGACGGTGCCAGATGACCCAGGTGTCATCTCCCAAACCAGCTGTGAGTAGTGGGACCTCCAGATCCCATCCAGTTTCTTAGTAGTTTCATCTGAAGTTGGCTCAGCCCATCTTCACGGATTGAGCAGAGAAGGTACTGGTGTGGCCAGGTCTTTGGAAGACCAGGACTCCCAGCCCTGCCTTGAGCAGGTAGGGGACAATCCCATTCCTGCAGCCTCCTGAAGCTGTGCACCCTCAGTTCATTGGGCTGGGAGCACAACAAATGATTTTGTCTTTGATGCCATCACGGAGCCTGAGTCGCCTGCCTGAGCGTGGGCTCTGCCTGGCTGTGGTTCGGCACCAGGACAGGCTTGTGTCACCTCCCTGGGCTTGGTGTCACCAAGCTTTGCTGCAGACATACCTGCAGGAGCTCCACATAGTGGAGGGAATGAAGGGAGCTGCTGTCCTGGACAGTGTAGGGTGTCGGAGAAGGTCTTCCTCCTGCCTGCCTGCTCTCTGGGCAGCGTCTGCCTCTCTGCTACCTGCTGGTCGTGGAAGGAGGCCAACATCTTGAAAGGAGTCTGGCTGGAGGACACCCCAGTTTTGGCTGGAGAGGGGTCTCGGAGCTCCCTTTGAGTCCGTCTCTGTCCGAGACCCCATGCACGGTTCTTTGCCGGTGCTGCAGGGTTGGGAGCGAGCAGCTGCTTTCTTTGCCAAAACCAACCCCCCTGACTTCATTGCAGCTGCCGAGTCAACAGCCGTGTCGGAGAGCTTGTCGGAGTCCCTGGACAATCCCTGGAACAGGCTCAACCCAATATCTTTGGCCCTCAACTCTTCAGATGGTGAGTCCCCCTGCCTCAGGCAGGAGACAGCTCCTCTCCTCGCCCTTTGCTGACCGCGTAGCTCCTCTCGGGCGCCGGCTCGCCGTGCTGTAGTGTTCCCCTTGCGCTGTTCCAGCTCCGACGCTTTCCCGCCCAACCCGAGGCTCTGAGGCAGGGCCCGAGCTGACCGCACGTTTTCTCTTACCAGAGACGATCCTCCAACAAGACCATTCCCTGAAGACCCAGCAGGATGTGGCTGCTGACAGCAACACCCCCGACTTGCTGGAACCGTGCAGCCTGGATTCTCCACAGGGGGAGCCGGTGCAGACCTCCTCTCCCTCCCTGCTCTGCTCCTACGCCAATACCAGTCCGGTGGAGACCAGGACCACCCAGAGAACGTCAGCTGCGAAGGCAGCCTGCGATGCCTCCTGCCCTGCTCAAGGCCCGCAGGTATCCAGGGGCTCTCCAGGCACCCCGTCATCTCTTTCTCCAGTTTTACCCGTCTTGCCCAGCAGCCACTCGCGACCCCCACCCGAGAAGATGCCTCACAGGGAGCAGGCGGACTCCAGTGGCGCAGCTTTCCCTCCAGAGACGTTGAAGCGTGGTCCGGCTCGTGCCAGGACCCAGTTTTTTTTAGGGAGGGGGTGTTGTGGGTGTTAAGAGGAAGCTGCTGGCAGGAGAGGGGCAGCAGCATCCCACAGGTGACTCGAGGGGCAGAGACAAGGGCAGGAGGATGGACCTCGTGAGCACACAGGATGTGAAGAAGAGCAGGAAGGAGAAGGGGCTGCGGTGTGGAAGAGAGCTCGAGGAGGAGGAGGAGGAGGAGGAGGAGGAGGCGGAGTTGGAGGAGGTGGAGGAGGTGGAGGAAGATGAAGCACCCCCAGTGAGCAGCCCCAGCTCTGGGCCGGAGCAGCGCAGAGCCCTGCAGCCGGTAAAGATGAAGAAACTGGTGGGGTCCCTTGGGTAGGGGTGGGTCCCTGGGGAGGTTCTCTGTGTCCCCCCCACTGCTGGTGCCCCGTTGCCAGGGCCGTTCATCACCTGGATGGTGGGGACAGGGAGTTGAAAGCAGGTGTCAAATGTGGATGGTGGCCCCAGCCCTGCCAAAGGAGCACCTGGGACACACGGTTGAGCCCAAGCTGGGTGGGAACCAGCACCTGCTGGAGCATATTCCAGCTCTCCACATAAGATTGGAAGAGCAGGAAACAATTGAGGGAGAGACCCGAGTTTTCCCAGGTGTATGGAGATCTCGGGCTGCGCAGTAGGGCCG